TTAAATAGGATTGATCCATCTTTCTGACTAACAGCTTTGCAAGACTTTTAATTGAAGATTATATCATAACTATTGTCACTTAATTGTCTTATAGACAACAAATTATGCATTAATCCATCTACTAAAAGAACATTAGTTATAGAGGAAAGTATATTGTTACCAACAGTTCTAGAGCCAATGATTTTTCATTTCTGATTTCCTCTAAAACCTACATATCCTCCAAATTTAAGTTCCAGGCTTTGGAACATATACTTTCTTTCCGTCATGTGTCGAGAGCATCCAGAGTCTAGGTACCAAGACTGGTGTTTCAACTTTGCTGCTAAAGACATCTGCAACATAGATACTTTTATCCTTAGGTACCCATATCTTTTTGGGTCCTTTTTAGTTAGAGTTTCCAAAATTCTGATTGAATTTTGGTTTTACATAAGAGTTCACAAAATATGATTCACTAGTATATTTTATATCATGTGCGTGTCCAAATGTGAAATGTGACTCCAGAGGTGTGTGTTTTATGACCATGGCATCTACTTGTTTTGGTTGATATGTTTCTTCTCCTCTTAGTTTCACATATCCTATACCTTTTCTTCCATTTCTTCTAACTCCATAGATCATTGAATCCATCTTGCTTCTATCTATATTTCTAGCTAGAAATCTTTGAAATCTATAATCATATTCTTTTATGATGTTATCAGAACTAGTTGAAACTTCTGAGACATGTTCTTTCTGATCTTTTTGCAACTCATTTTTAATAAAGAACTTTTCATTTTCGAGTTTAGAGTTGATTTCTTTTAGCTCAGAGTTTTCTGCTTTTAGTTTCCTACTTTCTCCAGTTTCAGATACTAGGCCATGTTTCAGGTTCTTGTCTTTGATTTGAAGTTATTGATATTTTTCAAGAATTTCAGACAGACTATCTTCTAATTGAGATCTAGAGAATTTAGAAAATACCTCTTCTGTGTGTGAGTCTGGTTCAGGTTCTGATGAATTTGTGTCATCTGATACGTTGGCCATTAATGCTATATTGACTTGTTTATCTTCTGATTCAGATTCCACTTCAGAAGATTCTGACTCATCCCATATTGCCATAAGACTTTTCTTCTTTTCTTTGACAAATTTCTTTTTCGGATTTTCTTTCTAAAGATTAGGGCAGTCACTTTTGTAATGGCCTGGATCTTTGCATTCGTAATAGACATCGTCTTTGTTCCTTGACTTTTTGTATCCAAAGGATGATCCAGAGTGATTACCTGATCTTTTAGTATTTCTGAATTTCCTTTGTCTGTGCTTCAATAGATTATGGACTCTTCTGGAGAGAATATATGATTTATCTTATTCTGATGAGGATCCACTAGAGCTTTCTTCTTCTGCCTGAAAAGCTTTAGTTTCATTTTTTTATTAGATTTAAGAGCAAGAGACTTACCTTTCTTCTGGGGCTCATCTTCTTCTAGTTCTATTTCACGACTTCTCAAGGAGCTGATTAGTCCCTCAAGTGATATAGTGTTCATATTTTTGGCTAGCTTTAAGGTTGTGACCATAGGTCTCCACTTCTTGAGTAATCTTCTGATGATTTTCTTTACATGATCTGTTATGGAGTAACCCTTGTCCAGAACTTTCAATCCAGCAACCATAATTTGAAACCTTGAGAACATTGTCTCAATTGTTTCATCTTTTTCCATCTTGAAATCCTAGTACTTATGGATGAGTGCAAGAGTTTTGGTCTCTTTGACTTGTGTGTTATCTTCATGCATCATTTTTAGAGATTCAAACATGTTCTGAGATGTATCTCTATTTATGATCTTCTCATACTCAGTGTAGGAGATGGCACTCAAAAGGATTGTTTTGGCCTTGTGATGATTTCTGAACTATTTCTTTTATTGACATGTCATCTTCTTTCTATTAATCTTCTGACCGCTTACATCAACTGGATGAACGTAGCCATCATTTACCATGTCCTAGAGATCAATATCACGAGCTAGAAAGAAACTTTCGATTCTGTCTTTCCAGTAATCGAAGTTTTCACCATCAAAGGTTAGAGGTTTGCCGCTGATTCTGTCTTTCTCATCATGGTTGTCATTGTTGTTGTTTTGAACTAGTTCCACCATAGTGTTTTTCTTGCTAGGATCTTTTTCTGACACGGCTAAGTGTTAGCACCCAGAACCAGGCGCTCTGATGCCAATTGAAGGATAAAAAAACACAAAAAAGAGGGTTTGAATTGAGGTTTTCAAAAATTAAAACAATATTACACGTTAGTTATTCCGGTTCGCTTGAACTCAAATCTACTCCAGTCTATCCGTCAATGTGATTTCGCCTCTCAATCAAGGTCTTAATTCACTAATAAAAAATGATTACAAAATCACGAAGACAACTGTCAACGTCTTTTTGAGATCAAACTACAACTCGGTTTCTCAAGGAAATACAATCTTAAACAAATATACAATGTATTTATAATTGCTTCTAACAAGCTATATCACAACTATGATGTTTACACAAATTATAGCACTAAGAATAACTTAAGAGATACAAGATATAAGAGTGTTTGGAGCTCTCTTGTTCGTATGTGTGGGTGTATTTTTTATCCATCTTCATAGTCCCCTTTATATAGAAAAGATTCAGACCCGTTGGAGACATATAAACTTATTTTTGGAAGGTCGATGATTTGAGGTTTTAATATTCTTTCCAAAAATAGAGATTTTGTTCCCAGTCATAATGTTCCCGCCGTTACTTTCTTGATTCTATATTGATTGTCATGAATGTGATGTTGGATAAGCAAATCTTCAGAACTTTGAGTGCTTGGTCTCAGAACTTTAATATGGTGTATACATTGAGTCTTCTTTGTTCTTTCAGAACTTTCCCATCAGAGTATAACCGGCAGCTTGGTGCTTCAGAAGTTTGTCTTATGCATCAGAACTTCTTTTACTAGTGTGTCACTCTTAGTTTCACTTCTGATCTTTTTATAAGCACGTTCTCTTCAGAGCTTCATATTTGTTCATTCACGTCATTATCCTCTTAGCTTTCATCAAAATTTCTCTGTACATTCAATCAAACGATTAGAGTGCGTAATTATTCTTCATAATAATTATGTATTTGTTATCATCAAAACTATGAATTAGATGTATAACCAAACTATGTTCTAACACATGCTTGCTTAGGTTTAAATTCGGTAATATTTATTTATTTGATAAGCTTAGGTTATGTTGGAATTGGAAACATAACAAGAGCTTTAGTGGTGATTAAAATTTGAAAAACATTCTGCTTTTAAAATTCGCCTTGTTGATTAATTGCTTAACCACATCTCGTGAATTATCCAATTAAGTCAATTTCATACTTTGTGTTTCTTTATCTAGACATTACAATATTTGTAAATTGATTTGAGTTGTTACGCAGATGTTTGTCAATCAAGTATAATTTCACATTTTTTCTCTATAAACTTCCACGCGCAAATTCTGAAAAACCTTCGGTTATTCTCATTTTAAGAATCAATTGATTTCATTTTAAAAGTCTATTCACCCTTCTCTAGAATGTTTCTAACACCATATTCTCACCCAACAAAAATAGCAACCTACATCGATGTACTCGAAGCTAGGTAAAGCTTGTCTTTGGAAGACAAGGCAATTGACAGGAAGATGTTCCTTCATTGTTACTAACATGTCATAACAATTTTGCAATTTTGTTACTAATATTTTATCTGAATCATTTTCAGGCATGAATCATCTGTCACTTTCCTCGCATATCTAACTGGGAACTTGCTGATAGCTACATTGAGGATTTTCCACATGCTTGCTCTTATATCTCTCTAAGAGGGAATCAAGCAATGAAGTCGTTATGAGTGTTTATTGACAATACTGTAACATATGACATATGCTATTGCATATACGGCGATCACCTTCAGATACGTCCATTGGACGATATAACCATATACTCTAGGTGGCTGGCTTGTGGGCCACGCTTAATGTATCTACATCTACTTGAGCGGGCCATGCGTCAATTTGGGTTTCTTTAGTTTATTCCAAGACATTCCTCTGTGTCTGCTCTTCTGATAGTCCTTCATATAGATCTTGATGCCATACTCGATGATTTGTATAATCGTATGGTACCAGATAATGCTTGCAGTGTGTCAGCTCCTTATTCGTGGAATCACTTAAGGCACCGTATAGATTGTTACGACACCCTCATGAAACACCAAAAGTACCCCTAAATTTCAGAGATACATCTTCGGACGCACCATAAACATGTTTGTTCCTAAATTAGGCTATAATGCTATGGTAAAAAAAATTTCAGAAATGCATATATGTGTACCTTATGGGGAGATGCATCACAGACGTTGTTTAATCAAAAGGACGCCAAATTCTTTCTCCTTCATCACTTCTCAAATGGGGTGTACCTCTGAAATAATTTATATCAAAAGAAGGTGTTTCTTTGAAGAATGTATGAAATGTACATGGATTGATTACGAAAATATATCTCCAAAATAATTTTTTTAAAAGATTAAGATGAGTTTCAGTTTTAGTGAAATATATAATACCCTCGAAAATGCATTTCCAAAATTGAAAGAACATTTTCGAATTTTCTTAACATCTGCTGAGGTTATAATTCTTTTTTTTAATATTTAAATATGATTGAAGATGGAAAATTTTACTAAAAGTAAAAAAGCATTAACATCTTACATTTCTTACTCTTTTTTAAAATTCGAATAGATTAAAATATTTATTTAATCTAAATACCTAATTCAACTTTCATTCCTGAGTCACCATAAAATTGTGTATCTAGTTAAAAAGTAAGACTAGATAAGTCAAGCAAAAATCTGGTCTTACTTTTTGTTTAAGTTCATTCCAAAGAAAGTAACAACAGTACTTGTAAATAATATGTAGTGACTTTGGAAAGAGGTACAGAATTAGCCAGTTGTAATTTGTTTTGTTTTGTTTCCACAATCAACAGAACAGAAGAAATCTGAATTGGATTTCAAAGTTCAAACAAACAAAACACTGATCAAGTTGCGGAGTCAGAAAATGGGCAATTATACAGTTCCTTTTGTAGGGATGATTCTTGCGGAGTTTGTTCAAGTTGCGTTAATCATGTTAAGCAAACGAGTCATGGCACAAGGAATGAACAGTTTAATATTCATTTTCTACTCCAATTCCATCGCTGCCCTTGTTCTTCTTCCATCTTCTTTCTACATCCACAGATTTCAACGTCCTCCTATCACGTTTTCTACCCTTTCTGGATTCTTCTTACTTGGACTACTCGGGTAAGTTCATCCCTCTTTTTCCACAATCTGTATATGCTAATACCAGAGGAGTTATGTTTTTTTTTTTTCAGGTATTTAGCGCAGGTTTTTGGATATGCTGGGATTTACTACAGCTCATCAACACTTGCTACTGCCATGCTCAATCTTATTCCTGGTTTTACCTTCATACTTGCCGTTCTTTTTAGGTTTATGCTCTTCCATTAATATTGTATCTTGATAAATGAAACACAAACATCAATTTTAACTAGAAATCATCATTTTTTGAATTTTTTCATGTAGCATTAGGTTAACATCTCAAATGTGGAAAAGTAAAATTAGGGTGTTTAATTTTTGTTAGCATTAGTCATTTTTGTTTTGTGCCTTTGGCATTTGTTGCATCATTTTTGTTTTGATATTTAGTTGATGTTTGTTTCATTCGCCGAGGGATGTTATTTCTTGTGGTTTTTCTTATGTTCATTATCCTTTGTTTGCATTTCAACTCATACATCTGAATCTTTAAGAATTGGATCTTTGCCCCTTCAATTTGGATCCGAATTTACCTTAAGCCAATATTGAAACCAATCAGACATGAAATGCTTTTGTTGACTTGTTTGTAACATCTTTGCTTTGAAATCATCTAAAATTAGTATTATCATTCGATTCATGTCGGCCTCCATGGGACTGTAACTGCTTCTATACCAATGGTCTTTTCTTTCATTGTCTCCACACATTGATTGTCTTGCCACTTATGTGAGGTGTACTACTGCTGCCATTGACAGCAATGTTCAATCTTGTTTCTGGTTTACCGTCGTCCTTGTTGTTCTTTTTAGGTTCATACACTGCTGCCATTGACTATAAGTAATGCTAGTGGTGAATAAAAAAAAAGTTTAAGCTTATGGAACCTTGGTCTGACACTTGTATAATGGATTTTCTTCTGTTTTGCATTTAAGGCATTGTGTTGCTAATATCACTGTTTGTTTACTCTCCTAATAAAGGACAAATGGCACTACCACCACTACCTTTGCTATAGAAGTGGAAGTCATATTTTGTTAAATTTTTATGTTTTCAATTGAAAATGAAGTATATGCATACGTCTGTCTAAACTCGTCTCATTTTGTGGTTTCAGAATGGAACAATTAGATTGGAAAAGCTATAGCAGCCTAGCAAAATCATTGGGAACAATAGTGTCAATTGCCGGTGCTTTTATTGCGACTTTGTACAAGGGTGCTGCACTTCTGAAGGGACCATCATCACCTGCAAACGTATCTCATCAGCTAGCTTTCTCACAAGATACTAGTTGGATAATTGGCGGATCATTTCTTGCAGGTGATTGCGTGATGGCTTCAGCATTTCTAATAGTACAGGTGAAATTAACAAGCAATAGTAGAGATTTCATGATCTTCAATTTCCACTTGCATTGAATGGCACCATTGTTTTGTGATAAGTTATTTATAATTGCCTAATTGGCCTTATTTCAGGCTTCTATTATAAAGAAATATCCAGCAGGGTTGATTGTTGTATTCTTTTATTGTTTCTTTGTGGCCATTCTATCTGCCGTGACATGTTTGGTTTTGGAAAGAGACGTCAATGCTTGGAGCTTGGAACCCAAGCTAAGGTTGCTATCAGTTTTATACTCGGTAATCAAGATGTATGTTTTACTTGACGTACAAGTTAAGTTACTGCTAGTAACTATGTATTGTATTTGTTTTGAAATCTGAAAGTTCACTGGTAAATATTTCCAGGGATTGTTTGGCTCTGCATTTCAAGTTGGTGTGACTACTTGGTGTTTGCACCAGACCGGACCTGTTTTTGTTTCCATGTTTAAGCCATTAGGAATTGTCATATCGGTGGTTGTAGGTGTTGTCTTCCTTGGTGATGCATTCTATCTCGGAAGGTGGGTTGCATACCTTTCTTTTGGACTGTATTTGGTGTTACCGTTGAGTTTATCGATCCAAACACAAATTTTAATGTTATTTTTCAATGCAGTTTGATTGGTGCTACCGTGATTGTTATTGGGTTTTATTCTGTATTGTGGGGGAAATCCAAAGATATTGAAGCGAGAAGCTTGGAATCAAGAGGCAACCAGGCCCCTCTTTTGACGGAAAACCGCAGTGAAGACATATAATGGTGTTAGTTCATTTGAAAATATGATGAAATTCTGCCAAGAGACCAGGCAGTTTCGATTATCTTACTCCGAGTAAGGGAGAGAACTCTGACTCTAAGAAGCATGGATAGTTTCTCGATGAAAGTTATAGGTCAAATCATCAAGGGTCATCTGGATGTAAATGGTTTTTTTAAACAATGTTGTCAATTGATTCGTATAGCCGACCACAGAACATCATAGTGATAAAATTCGGATTATTATTATTGTCAGAATTCTTTTTGAAGTTTGTTGTTGTTATTGTTGGTCTAGGATGGAGGGCATAATGATCAATGATCATCTATGGTAGGTATGTACACACACTATGTTCATAACAATTTGATGTCCAGTTTAAGTACCTGTTTGTGCTTGAGTTTTGGTTTATCTCTCTCCTTGCTTGTTATATCTTTTTCCTTTTTAATGATATCATTTCTTTCAAAAAAACAACAATCTGATGCATCTTAGAAAATAACCAAACTTTTATAAAATTAAAATTCCTACCGCAGTCAATAAAATACTCTTATGACAGCACCTTGTGGAGATTCTTGTTCCACAAGCTTCCATGAACACTACAAAAAATTGTGTGAATAGTAATATTAAATGAGCAATTTTGACATATTAATTCTTACAGCTACTTCTTTCTACTGTTTAGATAGAAGTTTGAAGAATAATTGTTTGCTTTAGTTGTGCTAAAGGAAGGAGGATTGGAATTTTTCCTATTAGGGATTGTTATCTTTGTTGGGAAGTACCGGCAGAGTCAATTAGCTAAAATTTCAAGATTCTAAAACTTTTGACATAATATTTTCATCATGACACTAATACCATTTGTTGAGGAGTTAGGGGAAGACTATTGAGAAGATCTCAAGTCTCACATTAGTTGAAAATAGAGTTTTAAAGAGTTTATATAGAGTGATACTCCTTATCTTATAAGTCGGTTTTGTAAATATAAGTTATGTCAAACTCTAAAACATGAATAATAACGGAAGTTCAATCCTCCAGAACCACACGAGAGGGAGAGACTGCATCTCCGCCCAAAACTTTAAGACATCAAATCTATAAATAATTTCTTTTAGAATTAATACACCTTTTGACCCCGTTATTTGGTGAGGTTTCGAAAAAGGATCATGTATAAAAAATATAGATTTCATCCATATATTTTGAAGATTCCTCTATTTTAGACCTTAAGTAGATTTGGTCAAACAAGAGGCTGATGTGGCGTTGATAACATGACTTTTTTTAAACTATTCATTTAAAATACATTTCACGTGTAATTAATTTCATATTAATCTCAAATTTATATTTTTAATTCCTTTATTCTAATTACTAAAACAAATTAATTAATTACATATCATTGACATTTCGTTTACCCCCGAAACTTATCATAGAATACGACCGTTTCATCGTCTTCTCCAAGCCATTCTCCGCTTCCATTGCTAAGTTGTGAAGGTTAGAGGTACGTTCCCATTTTGTAGTAAGTTAATCGTTTCTTTTGCTTCACCTATGTTTGATTGTTGCATGTCCATTTTACTGTGCTAGGTATGATACTGTTCAACTTAATCTTTCACTACGATAGAGAGTTTGTTCGTGAAAGTTTCGTTTTCTACAAAGGAGGAGTTGAAACTATCGTTAGTGGCCAGAATTCAAACACATGGTGGTATTTTGAAGCTTTGAGCTTAGTGAAGAAGTGTGGTTTTGACGATGGTGATGTCCGAATGTGGAGAAAGATTGAAAGGGTTGATGAATGTTTATTCCACCTGACTGATGATACCCACGTCTCAAAAGTTGTCAAGCATTCTATTTCTCACAATGTGGATGAACATATATGGGTGGAGCACAATGTTGCAGACCATTCAATGAGGGTACTCACTCCAAATTATATAGATATTTGTGAAGATAGTGACTATAACAATGATGATGATTCTTTAGGGATCATATTTGAAGATAGTGAGGAAGAAAGAGTTAATTAGGAAAATGAAGGATTTGTGGTTGTGGAGGTCGATAAACCCGAAGAAGGTAATATGGTTGAAATCAGTGGTAAAAAATATAGATATAAGTTAAAAGCTAACAAGGATTCATCAACGGTAAAGTCCCCCCAAAAAACCAGGTTGGTTGCTCCTTCAATGGTCATGGGTGGGAAACCAAGTTCATCAAAGTGTGTAGAACAAGATGGTGATTATGAAAGTGAAGAGTTGGGTAGCTCATACCCGGATGAAAGTGATAATGAAATGATGCCCAAATACGAGAATTTTAGAGCGGATTTGCTCAACAAAGACTATGAGTTCAAACTAGGCATAGAGTTTAAATATCTTGTTGAAATTAAGGATGCTATAAGAGAATGGCCTGTTTTAAATGGTAGAGAGATTAAGTTTGTAAAAAATGAAAGTTGTAGGGTTAGGGTGGAGTGCGGGGGTAAATCTGATTTTTTTAGCACTTTGTAGTAAAGTTGGTGACAAACACACTTTTCAAATAAAGACTTGGATGAGGTCACATACATGTGCTAGGATTTTGAATAACAAGTTAGCCACCTCTAAATGGGCGTCCAATGTTGCAGTTGAAAAGAGGGAGTCATGTGGTAAGGTTAAAGTCTCAGATCTAATGGTTGAACTAAGAATTAAATATTTAGTTGGGATTACTAAGGGAAGAGCATGGAGGGCCAAGTACATAACTGAGAAAATTATTGAGAAGATGTAGTCTCTCTCTCTCTCTCTCTCTCTCTCTCTCTCTCTCTCTCTCTCTCTCTCTCTCTCTCTATCTATCTATCTATCTATCTATCTATTTATCTCTCTCCAACAAACGTGCAAAACAGACAGAGGAAAAGAGTAATATTTTTTAGTTTAGAACTGATTTCTTGGCATGTCAGTGGCAAACTGATCCTGTTTTTCTGATTGACTTCTGAACCATATCATGTGTTGTAATTAATAATGGATCAATTGTTCATATATGCTTTAGAGGTTGCTTTGTGGCTTTAATTTTTCTTTCGGAATCTCTATTTTATTGATAGTGTTGTTGGCGATTTAAGATTTAACCTGATTCTCTTTTGATTGAAGTTATGTAGTTGGTCGTTTCTTCCGGCATGGTTTCTTGTTTTTTCTTTTTCTTTTTCTAACTTGTATTCTTTTATTTGTAGTTTTATAGCTTTTGTTTTTGACAGTTTTTCTTTTGTAGGTAGGCACTTCTTGTGTCACAATAATTTTGATCTTTAGTTGGTTGGTGAGTTTTTAACTCCCTATATTATTATATATAATATTTTTCCATTAAAAAAATTAATAACAGCATAATATATTTTATAAAAAATTATCAAAGCTTAATTGCTTGCACATTGAGGATATGATTATTAATGTAAAAAAAATGTAAGAGACTCCAAATACTTTTAAGTTGAAAATTTTATGTTTTCTTTTTGTAAATCTTAGAATTAAGAAAATAAATTTAAATCTTCTCCCCCTGTTTGAAAAACCTTTCAAATTGTGAAGGAACAAAAAGAACAAATAGTTATGGGCTCAATTTGTTAGTTTACTTTCTCAATGTTATTGACTCTATCAGCCTCTATCAGGCTCAAGTTGAAAAACTCAGAAGACTCACACACAAAAAAAGAGATTCCATAAAGAAATATTAATTGTCTCAAGATTCCAATCAAGTCTTTCTTAATCACACGCCATTGGTTAGGTAATACTTAAATCAGTAACGCCAAAAAATCCATATAATGGTGGAGCCACAAACAATGTCCACCACTAAAGCATTCACAAACATACTTAAAAGTTTCAAGCTATTAGCCCTTACTTATTCAATCTTTATTCTATGGTTAATTAACCACACTATAGAGAACATGTCCACAAGATCTAAACTCAAACAAAAAACCAAAAGATTAAAATGATTTAAAATTCAATGACACGTCATGTTTTGATCAATTGTTTAAGAATTTAGAGACACTCGAGTTGCAACTTCTCTAACAAAGTAGCTTCACATTTCTATGAAAGGTTACTCACATATGCATGGCTCTCATTTCTTCTCCTCTTTATATTTTCAATACCAACTTGCTTTTCATTCAAAGCTTCACTTCAATACAAAGAGTGTGTCTAGTTGTTGTGTTTTGTGGTTCTTATTCAACCTCCAACTGTTGAGGAACACACAAACACAAATAAAAAGACACATAGTTATTATAGCATATATACTCAAATTAAATCTTTGTCCATTTATACATATAAGGAATATTAACATATTAGAGATGGAGGGTAAGATTAGGACTTCAGAATTGATACCATTCATAGTGATGGTGATTATGGAAGGCTGCACTATAGCACTAACTATATTTGCAAAAACTGCACTAACTAATGGAATGAGTCCATTTGTATTCATTGTTTATACCAATGCTTTCGCCACTATAGTTTTGTTTCCTTCTTCCTTTTTACTAAACCATCAAAACAGGTACACAATTTCTTTCTCTTTCTTTATCTATGCTCTTGTTTACGTGCGCGTGCAGGTGAAGTTATTTGCATGGATGATTAATTTTAGACCTAATCTTGTTTTCACAGAAAGGAGAAGCCACTTTTTACTTTCTCTTTGTTTATGAGATTCTTGCTTCTTGGTTTCACAGGGTAAATATTCACTATGTCTTATTCAATATAATTTGTTACTTGGATCACAAGGTATCATAATTTTTTATTTAATAACATTTTTTTTATTGTGATTGATGGATTTTGCAGAATAACTATGACTCAGACACTTTTGTTTTTGGGTCTAAGTTACAGTTCTCCAATACTTGTATGTGCCATGAGCCACTTGATCCCAACCTTTACTTTTCTCCTCAATATCATTCACAGGTTCATCTTCAAAGCTTTTACTCATTTTTAATCTTCTTCAATATATTTTGATACATAAATATATAACTCAACTCAACCCTCAACACGCAGCAATATTAAATCTCTTGAGATAAAATTTTGTTGTCTATTATAATACTTCTCGACTAGAGGAATTAGTCTCTACAGTTG